ACCTCAAAAAACGAAATCTTTTTATGAGTCATTTGTTATAACTTTTTTCCTCCATAGGAAAAAAAAAATCTGTCCGCTTAACAATAGGGATTAGGTTAATTTTCTTAACATTCTACTGAACTAATCACTTTAATTGTAATTTTCTTTCAAGTTTTATAATAGCTGTAGGCTCAGATCTATAGAATTTAGTAAGAATGAAATCAGCAGGGTTCCACAGAAATGATCTCAGAATCTTTAGGTGTTGTTATTTCTCAATAAATTAGAAGAATAAGGAATTTCATAGTAAACATTCAATTTAAAATGATAAATTGAAAAGTCTACCTTTTTATTAGATCCAGTCAACATTAATTATTTCTTAAGTAGAATCTGAGAGGTACAAAGCAGCTTTTTTTTATCTTGTGTTCATTTTCCAAATCCAGTTTGACTATTCATTAATGAGATCACACTGCAAAGAAAGAAATATCAACCAACCCACTGTACAAGTTTGCTAATCCTGTATTTACTACTTGCTCAAACTATCAAAAAGGTCAGGCGTTTCATGTTTATAAAGAAAAATTAGCATAAAATGAAGGAAATAAATATATATTTAAAGAAAGAAAAACTAGAATATTAGAAATCTTTGGAAAAACTTGAACGATTTGGAAATGGTGAAGTGCCCTGTAGGAAGGTGTTATTGAGAGAGATTAAAAAGAAGTGAGTATTTCTGGTGCTATTTTCTGTAAAGCAATAGTGAAATAGGGCTACATCGTGCATATTTCAGATCAGAGGGGTTGAAAGGCACAGGCAAATATTATGTTGGTCCAAGTTCTTTTGCTTCTTCTGACTAGGTGAAGCCTGTCTTGTGCTATGGGGGGTGGCTGCTGCTTAAATACAGCCCAGAGGTCGCCCGGGGCAAAGGGGGGTTTGTGCATGGTCGCTGACATAAGCAGAGATGAGAGTCAAAAGCAAATTTGTTGGGTTTTTATACTCGGGGCCTGTAAGGCCAAATACATATTCCAGATACGGCACTGAGCGGACCCTATGAACATATTTGTCTGTGCATTTTGCTGTCACACTGACGGAGACAAGATCCATCTTAAAAGCAATTACTGGAAGCTCAGTTTTATTCGTTTTATGGCTTCAAGGGTAAGTTACACACCAGAAGGCAACAACATCAGAAAAAAACCCAACTAAAACCCAAGCCAATTTCCCATCCACCGCTGCCCCCCCCACCAGTTTGGAGAGCAAGAATATTTGTCATTTGAGATTATGGGCTTTGAAGAAATAAGGTTTGTCAACCCGATGTGTTTCGTTTGCTCACTTTCCGAGTCCCTCATGAGAGGAGTAAAAACCAAACAAACATATGAAACAGCTGTGTTTGCATTTAAACAAACATTAATTGATTGAAGTAATGAGTAACCTCAAAAATAGTTTAGAAAGTTCATAGCATCTTCAAATATTTGTAGACTATTAGAATTTAACTAATTTAATTATGTATGTAATCTTTTATTACAACAGTATCTGGAAACAAGGAGGGGAAGGCGCACCACATGTGTACATCTAAGTGTAATGGACAGAAATAAAAGATGAAATGTGAGTTAAATACTTTGAAAAGTTTTCTTGACAGTAAATCTACCTTCAGCCTCAAGTTTCCAGAGGGGACAGTTCAGTTACACTTCTGCTCTTTCAAGGGAAAAGAGAGGAAAATATTGTAGAAGCAACCTGACAGCTGTGTCTCTGGTTTACTCCATCACTCCACCTCCTGCAAGTCTACTGATACATCCAATAGATATATGAGCAGATGTTAGTATTTACAGCATATTCTCTTTAGAGAAACAGGACAAGTCCTAACCGATAGTTTAGAGAAGGTATGCAGACACTGTCAGGAGCCCCAAGAATGGTTCGAAGGAAACACAGCGCCCATTACTAATATAATACTATCCCATGGCTGTGCTCAACCAGAGAAGATGAAAAGAAAGGAAGAACATATTTTAGACATGCAGAGTACATCTTTAAAGGAATTTGACATATCAATGGTATATTCCATAGAACAAGATGAGAGTTTCTTACCATATCCTTTATCAAATGTCATTCCTGGGATGTTAGATATCACTGGTTAGACAGATTTTACTAACCACTTGTTCCATTAAACACTTTCAATAGCGTACATTGTTGCACTCTGAAAACAATTGGTGATTCTGAAAGAGGAAATACAACTTTGAGGACTATTTGGTTTTTAATTCATCTACTTTTCTGAACATCTTAGCCAAAAGAAGTTACTAAGAAACAGCCTTCTATTTATTTACCTTAAATTTCATGCCTATAATTAATTTATAATCCTATAATACTCAAGCCACTTATTTCTGACTTTCTTCTTTGGAAATCATAATTAATGTAATAGCATCCTTTTACATTAATACATTAGCACTCCATAAATACAATACAGGGCACTGTTCCATAGCAAAGAATCTATTTCCTTCCAGTATTTTGCCTTGTCTGTAGTTTAAGCAATATCAGCTCCCAGCTGTGGGCTAACAAGAGAAATCAGGGAACTCTCTGCAATGCACCAATATGCCCAGAAACCACTGAGCTATATATGGCAGGCAATTGCAAAACATGTATCTCATTAATTAATACCATGTTTCTGGACTGTACGCTTATTTGCTGAATAAGTTCCACTGCTATTTAGACAATAAAATAAAGTAGGTAATCAGAACCAGATGATATACACAGAACATTTACAATTTGTTTGGTTTAATTTTTCTAAAACTCTGGAGCAGATACTATTATTTTAAAGGATAAAAAGAAAGCAATTCTAATCAAATTTAGCTTGCAAGGAAGGTAGTTTAGCACACTAAGTAAACAATTCCCCCCAAATCAAGCCTTGACTGTAGACACATAAAGCTGTACATGTAGGGAACGCACAGCAGTAGACCGAGGGACACTGAATTAACTAAATCTAGTCAGAGAAACTATTCACTTTGCCAGACATTTAAAGTTGTTCCTACAATACTAGATGCAGTTCTAGCATGTTGATTTTTACCAATCCAAATAAGATCTAAATCTTTCTCAGTCTTTGTTCAGAACTTTAATATCATCAAAGTTACAAACTAAAAGACCTAGTCCTTCCACATGAGTTAGAGCACATAAAGTTAGACTAGTTTAATTTATTGGGACAATTCAGATGTATTAGAAATGACTTACATACAGGTTTGCAAAAATCAAAGACTTCTAGAGCCCTTCAGAGAGTGGGAAATGGAGGGAGGAGAGGAGGCAGAAATTTCATGTCAAGGAGGTAGGCACCACATGTTCTTAATGAGCTTCTGGTTTTCCAACACCGCATATGTTGAAAATGTTCCAGAAGATTGAGCATGTGCTACCAGTCTATTAAGTTTAATGACATTCTTTATCTCCCCAAAGACATGAGTTCCTAGATCTGCCAAAAAAAAAAAAAGCTTACTTGGACAGCAATTCAGCTACTTGTGCGTACATCCATGTGTAAGATTACAAACAGACTCTGTTGAAGCCCATGAGGTCAATCAGACGGAAAAGTTGGGCAGATAGTACCCTTTTGTTAAGCAAAAGTCTCAACTGAACAAACATACACATGATCTTTCTCGGTTCGTGCTCGTAATGCGTAATAACAATTCAAGGTAATCAGGCATGTAATTATATTTGTACTTTGTATCTTTGTATTTCCTAAGGTTGCGTGGCTTCAAAGAATTTACAGCTTTGAAATAACAGTGCATATCTACAGATGCTTTTTCACATTTTCCATTATAAATATACCTCTCTATGCATATGGAATGAATCCTGGTGTGGTAACACGTAGAGCCAGTTCTCAGAGTCTTGAAAGAGACAGATTACCTCATGTCCCTGGGCTGCACTGTCTCCAAATAACATGCATATTATTTAACACACTCACTCAGCACGAGCAGTTATCTACTGCAGTAGTTCCTAAACAAGGAGCGAAGACCTGTAAACGCAGTGGGAGACCCAAACCATTTAATTCTAAGAGAGGGCTCGTACCCAGAAATGATACCATGCATCCACAAACCCAAAAGTGAGGTTGCCACCAAAAGGACGAGGACTCCTGCTTCATGGCACTGAAATCATGTGTAATTTGGTATTAACTTTCTGCATCCTTAGGGAAGCTAGCGCAAGATGTCACTAGACAATATTTCCGCAATCAAGGAATTTGTGAAACATGAGCAGTTATGAATGATTCAAAAAACCAAAAAAAGCCCTCTCTGAAAAGTTTGTGCAGGGACTTACCTAAAGGCTTGTTTCTTGGGATCATTTGGGAAACCATCAGCACTACTGAACAAGTTGAGGCTTCTCTGCTAGAAAAGTTAAGGATCGTGCCGAGAAACTTGTTTCGTGTACCATACTGTTGAAAAGCTTTTAAACCTACAGGCTTTTAAGAAAGATGGGAAAAAAAATTATTCCGTATTTATGTAAAGTATTAGGGATACGTGTAATGAAAGAGGTCTCTTGTACTGGGTGGCAAAGGCCTCTTACTGCATCTCCAGTTGGAGGTACCTATACTCAGAAAAGCAGTAATGCCTCCAAGTACACTGGTGACGTTTCAATGTATACATTTTTCACTTTCACTTCTGGAGAAACTAAAGCAATCCCAGTTTATGATCACAAGCTTAGAAAATATAAAAATAGTGCCAGAATCAAATTATCATGTGAAATTAGGCAGTTTTGAGGCCTGCTAGATCCCAAAGAGTAAAGCTAAAAGCGTGACCCACAACTATTTACGCTACCGAGAATGCTGATCTCACAGGGCAACAATAATATTACTGTGGACAGTACACCAAAGCAGTTTAGAGTCTACTTTAATATTTTGTAGTTTTTAATTTCTCACACATGGTTTTTAAATTTATATTTTTCCATGTGAAATAATTTTTCTTTTAGTTAATCAAAGCTGAAAACCACGCCAAATTTTGCCTTAATCCCAAGAATATATTCTCCAGATCAAAATAATGATTTAAGGGTCATTTTTATTCCTTAACTGTTACTTCAGAAACGTCTGGTCATTGAACCAGTCACAAGTCATGGCACTTCTTTCCTGCTACCAGTACCTAAACCGATGAGAAAGCTGACACAGCAAATATGCTGAGGCTTGGATTGTTTACAAAAGGGGATCTTTCATGCTTAGCAATCCCCACAGTTGTGCAGAGAAAGGACAGTTTGACTAACCACAAAAAACAAAACAACTATTGAGTAATGCACTGTCTTCATTTTAGCGCTCTCGTGTCCAGTTTTTAACATGTTTTTCAGCTTTTCCTTTAAGTTTTCATACACCACTTGTTTAAGTATTCTGCCAAAGAATGAACCACCCAGTAGACAAAGTAAGGGAACTGTTTTTGTAGTTTCACTGGGACATATTCCCACAAAGACCTCCAGGGCCACAGAAAGGACCAAAACAAGAAACAAAAACAATCCTTAATCATGTACTTCCCACAAAGCATACCTTGCGCTGTGTGGCCTCATTTCGCTGAAGCATCTTTTAGACTATCTCAAAGTGCAACTTTTGTTCTAGACAAAATCTATTTTTAGAAAAGAACTATAAAATATCTGAGATGGAGAAAGCGTGAAGTGTGCCTCTCACTGAGTGCTTTTATTTTCCATTTGTGACCTGTGGCCGACTATATGACTGAAGGAAAAATATAGCATTTTTCCTGTTAAAAAATATGCCTATACCAAGGATTTTATACCATTTTTGAACTCCAAAGAGGAAAGACATTCAGAGATTAGCAACATACACATCTCCTTTCATACTGACAAACTGCTACTTGGTTAGATTAATCACAAAAGTAGCTTTAGAGTCTTTGGGGCTAATATGAAACAGGAAAAGTATTTCCTTCCTCTAGTTCCTGAGAGCTGACTTCCTTCACGAGACGAAATATATTTCATAAGGCTGGGCATGGAAGCGGTTCTCCTGCCCTCGGCCGCACCACTTAGCCATCCTGACAGAAAATACATTGTGGAGGAGAAAAGGAAAAGGAAAAAAAAAACAAACCATGCAAATTCACCCTGTTCACTGCTGAAGGAGATCAAGGGAGCGATGACTTCCATTAGGCTCTGGTTGCCTGAAACAATTTTAATTTTCAAGTTTTTCTGACCCTTGGTATGCAAGTTGGCCCTCAGACAGATAGAGCCACTAAGGAGTTTGGCATGTGGGAGGATCAGACTATGCATCGGGGTTAATGGAGTTCATGTTATTCCCCTTGGATTTGACTCCAGCAAGTCTGGCAGTCTGAACACGTCAGTCAGTCTGAAGGCAGGCAGAGATGTCTAAGGGCAACTGAAGAGATGAGAAGAAAGCACGATGTCTAAATTGGACTCCTTAGCCACTTCATTTTTATTTCTCTTTCTAAGACTCCTCTCTTGGGCTGGCCTGGAAAGAAACGCATCTTACTGAAGAACTGAGGGTCTGTAAGTAGAAAAAGAAAACATGGAGATTTACAGTAAAAATATAAAATAGAAATGTTAACAGCACTGTGTAACAAGTAGTTAGACACTAAGAAGAGAGATTTAGTTGTTACACCTGACTGGGATTCTGCCCGAGATGGAGGTTCGGGGCTGAGGGGTGAGGTTTCCCTGTTCTGAGAGGAGCCTCTGCCCATCTAAGTCACACAGTCAGGAAGACAAAAGTTATTTACCTGCAATAGCGTACATCTCTGCTGTTGCCGTTACTGTTACCAGTGTAACAGCGGCCTGGAAAGCAAAATACATTTGCTACCTCAGCTCCTGACCACAAGGAACTGGAGTATGAAAGAAAACAATTTTTGTCTTAGTTTTGTTCTTGAACCTAACCAGGACCTAACCCCATTTAAAAAAGTCAGGTCTAAAGAGCGTTTTAATAAAGGGTTATAATGGAGGTAAATATCATACTGAAAAACAACGACACTCATCTCTTCCCCGATGGAGGCATACAGCTTCTTGAAAGACCTACAAACATAATGGCTCGAACGGATAGTTTAGTGTGAATGCATTACAAAATTGAAGCCATTTTAACCTTTTCGGGAAACAGAAACAACATTCAGTTCACACAAGTTTTGGACTGAGTGTGAATTTCAAAAGCAAAACGTTCACAACTGGCTTTCTGCAAATAATCTGCAGAACCAGCAATTTTCACTGACAGAATTAGGAGTCCCACAGTGCAGGACAGTCACATCACCATGGTGGCAAACGCTGTACACAGTTACAGCAAGTGATCACAGACAAGGCTTTGAGCTATTCTATGATTCAACCAGCATGAAGGTAGTAAAAAATGTGGACAGTAATATTACTAGTTAACACTGAACTCTTATTTTGAGGATGGAGCAAAATACTTGGAGCAAAAAATCGGGATTATTGTGGAATGTTGTCTGTGTTCAACAGTTGTCTATATTGATAGACTCTTACAGGACAATATACAGAACATGTAGATTTTTATAATGTGAGTAATCCCATTTCTGTTTTTAACTCATGTTTTCCAAGTACTTTAGCTGCATCGTAAGCGTGATGTTAAACAACCTGTGCAGAGAGCAGTTTAATCCATTAAGCATAAGACAACAGGCCTGGGGTTTTTTTAAAGCTCTTACCCATAGGAGCAATGCAAGCAGCAACAAGAGTATGATCCTGAGAGGCAAAATTATACTCTATAGGACTAGACCACCCAAATACTTAAAACTGAAATACTTGGAGATATATCAGACTGTAATCACACAGCAGGTAAGGCGTGGAGATGACTGCTTTTATAATTCTTTGCAAAAGTAGAAGGGATTAGCAATAATTAGCAGTGGTCCTTATTCTGAAACAGCAAACCATATTTTCTTTCTGGCAAGCAGCTGAACTATTAACATTTGTAAAGTATACCGAGATCTATCAATAGAAAGCGTACTAGGAGCGGAAAACACATCACCACCCATGTGTTACACAGACCTGCATTAATTTTACTCCTTTGAAACCTAGTTTAAGAACTACATAAAACTTTGATGTAAAGCAAATAATTGTTCTGCTCAAAACACAAGCTGTTTTTGTGCTTTGAAGATGTGTGGCAGTAAAGAGCGGGAAGTCACAAATGATTTCCATGGGAAACAAGTAACTCCACAGTACTCCTATCATTGCTCAGACATGTACTCCTGGGTCTTCTGATTACGTTGTGAAAGGATGTGAAACCTCAGAAGTATTATTTCTTGTATATTTTTACATGTCATGAGCACAATGAATGTGATTGCTCCCAGGGGCAAATCAGAGAGCATGCTTATTGCTAGAATCAGAATGCACTACACTCAGGTTTTGATCTATTAAAATAGACTATTTACAGTTTCCTTTTTGAAGAAACTTCCCCCTCCAAAATCTCAATTTTTTTGCACATTTAGAGTTTGATAGTACACGTGTGCTTACATGAGGATGCGCTATTATGCATGGTGCACGTATTATGGTTTTGGTACTAAATAGCAAAAGCTGATATATCATAACCTGTTTTCCCTTGAACATGTAGCTCTCCAGCAGAGAGAACCACCAAAACTTAGCTGAGAAACCCACTTTCCCTGTTTGTAGAGGCCCAAATATTTTAAGGACTTATAAAAAAATGCATTTCTGATGCTGTAGTAAATAAATTGAGTGAAAAATAACTTTCATTCACCAAAAGGCAGAAACTGCACCTGGCTGACTAACTTTAGCAGATGACATGTAAGAAAATGCAATCTTACAGCTTTATAGGCAGACAGACTATATGCTTTTACATACCTTACTGGATTTTATCCTGTTCTAGTTAAGTTTTCATCAAGGACTTCCGAAAGTACCTGAATATCTTTGCAACGTGTTCCTGCTCAGTGCCTCTTAGCAAGACGCAGCCATTTTGCAGCTGCTGCCTGTCATCCCTGCATTTCTGGCAAGTGTCTCTATGATGTGACAAATAACTTTTGGCCCATAATACCAATTCTACAAAACCACTTTCTAATTAAAATGTCATTTGAAAATCCCTTCTTATCCTAGCATTTGAAATGACTTGAAGCTAATATTAGACATATATTTATAACTCATAAAATATTTATCTTCAATGTTAAGCTTGTTTTTTGTTTTTTTTTTTAATTTCTAGCCTGCATTAGGGGAAAAAAAAGTAACTTCTCTGAAGGAGTGTAAACAGGAGCTAGAGGTTCATTCTGGACCATATGCAAGGCGAAAGAGCACATTAGCTCTTTTCAAGGCAAAAATAAAGATCATGTGAGGAATGTGCCAACTTTCCATAGATAACCAATAGACAGCGATTTGACTTCCTAATTGCATTTCTGTTTTTCCGAGGACAGAGGAAAGAGAAGAGCTTCAAGGAAATGAAACTCCCCAACGTCAAGTATCAGCATGATTACATTTGCTATATCTGTGCTGAGAAACGTGACTTTTCTTTCTAAGTACAGAAACAATAGCAAATATTTTAATAAGTGATCCGGAGGTAAGGGGTACCACATGAATTTTCTGGTTCACGTAGACGTAACGGAGTTGGCAGATCCTTGTACTAAAAGTCACAGTTGATGTTGAATAGGCAGTGGAGCAGGCTCTTCAATGGCTAATGCATCCTTGCTATTCACAGCCTCTGGACAAGCAGACGAATCTGCTCTCCAGCACAACCTTTCTTCCAGGCTGCGTGGAAGACATATTTCATGGCTGAGGTGAAGCTCATTACATTAAGCATAGACTTGGTACACTACAGATGGTGTTTTATGCATCACTGACCTCATATCCATATCTTTTTAATATGCATAGAAAATGTTTTACTGTACCCTGCACCTCTCTTTAAGGAAGTATTTCCGCTATTTTGTCAATAAATTAGTTTTTGAAGCCTAACAAAATATAATGAAGGCTACCGATTTTCCATCAAAAGTAGCTTAAAAATTTCCAGTAATAGATGCACCATGACAGGACCATGGCATAAGAACTGAGCCCTGTGTCACACTGTGTTTACAGATGCAGTGCTGCAGGGAGGACGGAGGGGAAAATGGTGAAGGTGTGGACAGGAGCTCTGAGCCATTTCTTAATGAGTCCTTTTAAACTGCTACCACTTAAGTGGAAGCTCAGGGGAGGAACAAGCTCAAGCTAGGATATCAAGCTAAAGATGATCAGCAGGTCTGGATGTTAAAGTAACCTTTAAAGTTGGTTCACTGCTAGTTTATAGAGAACCTTTGTATTCGCTCCGTTAGAGAGCACGACAGCTGAAATTTCCACCTTGTTGGTAGTTGTTAAGCAGAACTTTTCCAGACTCTGACAATTTTTTGTTGCTTTTCTGCGATGGGTGATGAACAACAATCTGTTCTCAAAACATGAGAGCTTCTTTTAGAGTGTTGGTTATTGCAGATAATTTTTTTCTTGTGTCCACTGCTACATCTCAGCCAGTCAACAGAACCTAGGCTGTTTTGAAAAACTTCTTCTATGCATATTTTTCACGTGTAGACTCTCAACTTAAACTGTGTAATTTTCCTGGCTTCTGTTTAACTCAGGAAACAGAACCAATAATGAGCATTCTTACAGGGGAAGAGAGAAATAATTATTTGAGTTGGAGTGCCATTAGGTTCATAAAGCTTAAATTATTCTAGTGATTGCTCCCTATTATTCCTTGCATGTGAAGCCTAACTTAAAAGAGAAACTTGAACTTGCAAAAAATTTAAAAATCCTAACAACTGGATTATTACTATTTTACCTCAAAGCAACAAATTGTTACCTACTTAAGGAGACACAGTACTGTGTTCTGCAACAGCTGTTTTGTGACTTTATAATCAGAATTTAGGTTTGTGATTTAATGCTATTCAAAATATATGTTAGTAATAATAAACCTGTCTTATAGTAGACAACAGACATTTCCTGACCCTGTGAGTAGAACTTCTACTCATGTCAGTAAAGAATCAAAGCCTGCAGTCGGAAAAATGGACTGTTACTCTGCGATAGCTGTAATTGTCATTCTGGTAATACTTTACTAGTAAGACAAGCAATGCTTTTAATTCCTTCTCATTCCTAAAGGCAATAGTCCCTGCAGGAAATCTATTTGTATAAAGTGCTTGCTGCAATAGTTTAAAATGAAAGTTTACTTGAAAAATAAAGGTTTGGGCCTCAAATCAATAGCCTTATCGGATTTGTGGCATCCAACCTTTATGTTTATATCCTTCTCATTCTAATAATAAACATTTTCAGAATCTGAAATGAAAGATGAGTGGTAAAGGCAATATTGTTTTATCTTTTAAATGATGGAAGGTCCTGTACAGATTTCTCTCTGTTTTCATTAACAGTGTTATCCAGGTGAAGTGATTTCGGAGCCTACTTTCAAAGGGTGTTTCCTTTTCCAGGCATACAGAACCACCTGCATGTACAGTTTGAGTAGCATGATGTTTTACATAAAAGAATAAAGCTAAAGCAGGTAAAAGCAAGTTGTATCTCCACCCAGAAAAACAACATGTGTTAGTAAGGCACTTTTCTTACATGGAGGGGAAAAAAAAACCAACGAAAGAAAAGGCTGTCACCACCTAGGAATTTCATGAGCACCTTTGCTAAAAGAATTTAAAATAAGTGCAAGATATTGTAAAATCGTTACCTTTTACTAGGTAACTAGTGCTCTGGTTTGCCACCAATTCCTGTTTAATAGAAGCATCTGTTTGAAGTGTTTGGAACTTCCAATCAAATTTCAATACTTCAAGAATTTCTCAAGGAACAAACACAGCGGTTTCAAGAGCCAATTTTATTTTTTTCCCTCCACAAAAAAAGATACAGGTATAATGTCAGATGTCCTCTGTCAGCTTCTCAGAGACTAAAATAAGGAGACAGTCAAAACAGCCATGGCAAGGCTCCAGCAGCGGTAGGAGGAAAGCTTTGTCACGCCTGCCAAGAATCTCAGCGATGGAGAGCAGAGAGCTGAACTTTGCCTTACATAGTGGCTGACAAGCCCAGGGGTCTGTAAGGCTTTCATATTTTCATTTGGCTTTGCTTGCTTACAAAAATGTAAACTCTGTGGGAATCCAGGAAAAAAAAAAGCTTTCATTGTAAGTTACTAATTCATACTGTGTTAAGCTAGTAGTTACAGGTCAGCTTTCGCTATGGTATCCAGCTACTATGGATTGCTTTTAACATACCTTCTCATAAACACTTCCCTCCCCGCCCTATATTGACTGATAGGGTGGCTTTATTCATCTCTTGACCTAAAGGACCCTGCTTTGCCAGAAATAGCCAAGAGAAAAACCTCACATGACACGCCTCACATTTGCATTTCACTGCCAAAGTGTTTAATCTTGCCCGTGAACAGCTGAGTGAACATAGGAGCCCCAAAACCTTCAACAGCCATTTTCTTAAGTTACCTTTGCCAAAGGACAACTGATTTATTCTTGGAGGGGTTTTATTTTCTTAATTCTTTGGTTTGTTGCTATTCAGGTGCCTTGATGTGACATAACATTCATTCTTACCATTTCATTTTCCTGTATCTTGTACCCCCTAAAATACAAATCAGCAGGCTGGGACTATAGCATTAAGGAAGTTTTGTTGTGAATTTGGTTTAAATCACAGAACAGCTTCAACCAAAATAAACAGATATTCCTCTTCACTTGAGTAAAAAAACCAAGTAAGTTGTTTGGGGTTTGACATTTGAAAACATTTTAATGTTCTACTTTGCAGAGTTACTTTTGTTTAGAGAATGTTGCTTTTTCAGTCATGCTTTGGATAAAGCTTTGGCTTTCCCAAAATATATTTTGGAGTGTGTGTTCTTTTGTTGTTAATTTTTTGTTGGTTTTGCCAAAAACATTCAAGTGTTTGAAGTTGAGTGAGACCCATGTTGTTTTTTTTTTCCCTTCTCAAGAAAACTTTTTCCCCAGTTCAGTCACTGAACCAGTATCTAGTTTTATTACCTAGATGGAAACTTTACTTTAGTTCTAGATCATGGACTGAATCTGCAAAGGCATTTAGGTGCCTAACTACCATAGGAACAACAGGAATCACTAAATTCCACTCAGAACTGTGCTGATGATTCTTTGCTTTCTCAGTGGGCACTGCGCTATCAGGTCAGATCCTTTCCACCTCTCGTTCCTCGCCCCTCCCTGCAAAGGAAGTACCATGAAATTTTTCTCCGGAGGAACATGTTTGATTTCACAGATACTGGAAGTTGCCCTTTACAATCCCACTAATCTTCATGCCCCACAGAAGACAAACGGGCTGGGCAGTCCCTGGCTGGGTCGCTTCTGCGGGGAGCTGGAAGGCTGCTCGTTGGGCCCAGGCCACCTCACAACTCTGTCGATCGTAGCGGCTCCCAGGGGCAGCATCTTACACACAGGCTTTTCCTCTCCGTGCAAGGAACGGGGTGGATGTGTCAAGGGGCATCAGATGTGCTGCATCCTATTTTCTGCCTGAAAATGGAGCGGGAGCCCTGAAAGCTGAGTTTATGGGGCAAGTGGGCTACTGTAGCAAGGAGGCCAAAGTGCTTTCCCACAGTAAAGCACCATATTAGGATTCTTCCCAGGGAAGCTGAAGGAGGAGGTTGCTTCTGCATATGCTGTTAGCCAGCAACCCAGCGAGATGGCAGGGCAGCGAGGAGAGGGGATCTGTGCAAAGCGTTCCTGTGTGAATAAAGAAAGGGGATTTATAAACTGCTGAAGTGTCCATCACATGAGTTTTGTTTCCTTTTTAGTTCTAATCAAGATTTTTATGACAAAGGCAGCAAGAACATTGCTTGCTGCTCATGATGCTGTATTTCTGCTACGCAGAATGAATCCTCAACACATGCCAGTTACAGTAATGCACACCTGACTGCAGATTAAACAAGAGCATCTCGCACACACATCCCATATTTTAAGACAGTTGAATCCTACCTTTTTCATTATGCTTATGTTCACACGTACACTGTCAGTTCAAATTTC